TAAAAAGCTTGATTTATGTGATGACATGTACAGGACCAAATATGCTAAACCTTTATTTGTCCCACAACAGGGAAATTCACTCTGTTACAGCAGTGAAGGGATAGAAACAGGCACCCAGTGTTCAGAGTCACATAGTAGACAGATCATTATTGTTAGAAAAACTGTAAACAATGGAAAAACAATGTAGCTGTGATAATACTGATATAATCAGTAAACAGTTAAAAAATGTACTAAAAATTGCACCTGTACACAGGGTGGTTCACAGTTATGCAGTCTGTTCGATAGAAATCAGTGCTTAGAATGAAAAAATGGCAGATGAGGTAGTCACAAAGCAAGACTGGTATTGTACATGCTTGGCCAAATAAAGGTGATTATTATTAAGACCAACAGTGCTACAGGTCACTGTATGACAAGACAACCAGACACAAGGACAGTTTCTTCCCTGTGCCATCACTCTGATGAACTGTTAATCTATGACTGTGTAACAAAATGACAACCCTCAGTGCAATATCTTGTAAATATACAAACCCCAATTCCAATGAAGTTGGGACACTGTGTAAAACGTAAATAAAAACAGAATATAATGACTTGCAAATCCTTTTTGACCCATATTTAATTGAATACACCATAAAGACAAGATATTTAATGTTCAAACTGATCAACTTTGTTTTTTTGCAAATATTCACTCATTTTGAATTTGATGCCTGTAACATTTTCCAAAGAGCTGGGACAGGGGCAACAAAAGACTAGGAAAGTTGAGGAATGCTCAAAAGACACCTGTTTGGAACATTCCACAGGTGAACAAGTTTATTGGAAACAGGTGAACGTCATGATTGGTTATAAAAGGAGCATCCCAAAAGGCTCAGTCATTCACAAGCAAAGATGGGGCACGGTTCACCACTTTGTGAACTGTGTGAGCAAAGTGTCCAACTGTTTAAGAACGTTTCTCAACATACAATTGCAAGGAATTCAGTTATTTCATCATCTACAGTCCATAATATCATCAATAGATTCAGAGAATCTGGAGAAATCTCTGCACGTAAGCAGCAAGTCCGTAAACCAACACTGAATGCCTGTGACCTTCGATCCCTCAGGCGGCACTGCATTAAAAACAGACATCATTCTGCAAAGGATATTACCACATGAGCTCAGGAACACTTCAGAAAACCATCATCAGTTAACACAGTTTGTCACAACATCTACAAGTGCAAGTTAACACTCTACCATGCAAAGCGAAAGCCATACAACACCCAGAAACACCGCCAGCTTCTCTGGGCCTGAGCTCATCAGAGATGGACTGATGCAAAGTGGCAAAGTGTGCTGTGGTCTGATGAGTTCACATCTCAAATTGTTTTTGGAAATCATGGACATCGTGTCCTCCAGGCTAAAGAGGAAAAGGATCATCCAGATCATTATCAGCGCAAAGTTTAAAAGCCAGCATCTGTGATTGTATGGGGGTGTGTTAGTGCCCATGGCGTGGGTAACTTGCACATCTGTGAAGGCACCATTAATGCTGAAAAGTACATCCAGGTTTTGGAGCAAAATATGCTGCCATCCGAGCGACGTCTTTTTCAGGGATGTTCCTGCTTATTTCAGCAAGACACTACCAAGCCACATTCTGCACGTATTACAACAGCGTGGCTTCATAGTAAAAGAGTGCAGGTCCTAGACTGGCCTGCCTGCAGTCCAGACCTGTCTCCCATTGAAAATGTGTGGCGCATTATGACGTGCAAAATACGACCCTGGACTTTTGAGCAACTGAAGTCATACATCAAGCAAGAATGGGAAAGAATTCC